TTGTCATCTCCTTGATGGTGCTTCCTCCAGCCATGATTATCAGAAAAATACTTTGTTCGTTTGTTAGATATTTAGGGTGTGATAATCCTGGATAACTTCGAAGAATCGTGTTCGTACACTTTCCGAACAAAGTATTTCAACCCTATTCTTGCCTGGGTTCACGAAATCTTTGTGGGGATAATTCTCGAAGAAATTCTGTTTCCGACAAAAGAAAACGAATTGTAATTATAGAGAGAAGGATGCGTTTTTTTTCTGTGTACGAGACCGAGGCCGAACGACTCCTTATATAGGAGAACAGTAATTGAAAACGAAGAGACATATTTGTTCGAAACGAATATGTCAGTTGGGAAACAGTTATGTCCGTTGGGGAAAGGATTCAATCATTTTCATTAAAATTAGGAATTAAATCATTTTTAGACATTTCATGCATTCTTTTATAGTGTACATGTCCTAGACGAGCATGCCATAACGAAAAATTAATAACATTTGACGAGGACATAAAAACAGAACCAGAATCATTAGGAACTCCATTCAAATTCATCATAAACATACCATTATTATAATATCCAAATCCTACAAACACACCAGACTTCGATAATACATATTTATCGGATTCTCACACTTGCTTGTATCCAAGCTTGTTTAATACAGGACCAGAAATTAAATGCTTACGTAATTTAGGAACATACAATACATTAAACAAAGTAATAGTCTTTCCAGAACTGAATTCTAGCACCACGTTTCCTTTGCCTTCAACGGGAGCGAAGGGATCATCTCCCATGTAGAGGACAGAACCATCTTCCACTGGAACAAGAGTCTTGAACCAGAAACGATCCTTGCAAACATGTGTTGTGGCACCAGAATCAATCCACCACGCGGCAGCATCATCCTGCATATAAAATGCTTCAGAATTTAGTGAAACCGAATGTTTAATCGAACTATTCAAATCACGAATTGATTTCTGACCTTGGTTTTCAGAGTGGTCCTTAGACCCCTTTCCTGAACAACTTGCATTCGCGTTGTCGTTCTTTTTACCGAAACGGCAGTCCTTCTTGAAGTGGCCTGTTTTGCCACACTTCCAGCATTCTAGTTTTGGTTTCTTATTATTACCGAAACCGCCCTGTTTGTTCTTGAAGGCACGCTTCTTTCCTTTGTTTTTGTTGTAATCGTTCTTACCACCCTCTTCGACCATATTAACCGAGGGTCCAGCAATTCCTTTGCCTTTTCCTTTGTCATCTTCCTGCGCTCTTAGAGATTCTTCTATGCGCAAATGACTTCCAAGTTGGATCAAAGACAGTTCGTCTTTTCCATGTTTCAGATTGTGTTTGAAATCCTTCCACGAAGGAGGCAATTTGTCTATGATGCTTGAGACAGATATTGTTTCATCCATATTCAATCCATGTTGTGTGAATTGTCCAAGGATTCGGAGGAGTTCATTGAATTGTTCCATGACAGACCTCGATTCAACCATTTTGTAATTGTTAAAATCGGTTACCAAAAACTTTTTAATGGATGAGTCCTCTGCCATGTACTTGGATTCAAGTTGATCCCACAATTCTTTTGCAGATTCCACGTTTTGGTAAATATCAAATAAGGGATCAGACATACCGTTAAGAATGTGCCCTCTGCATATGTAGTCGTCGTTCTCCCACTTTGATCTGCGTCTTATATCTTCGACTGATTCATCCTCATGAGGTTCTGGAATCGGTGTAGACAGGACGTGTACCACTTTCAACGTTGTCAACATGAAGTGCATCTTCTTTTGCCAACGCCTGAAATCTTGTCCTTGAAACTTGTCCAATTTTCCGAAGTTTGTTGTCATCTCCTTGATGGTGCTTCCTCCAGCCATGATTATCAGAAAAATACTTTGTTCGTTTGTTAGATATTTAGGGTGTGATAATCCTGGATAACTTCGAAGAATCGTGTTCGTACACTTTCCGAACAAAGTATTTCGACCCTATTCTTGCCTGGGTTCACGAATTCTTTGTGGGGATAATTCTCGAAGAAATTTTGTTTCCGACAAAAGAAAACGAATTGTAATTATAGAGAGAAGGATGCGTTTTTTTCTGTGTACGAGACCGAGGCCGAACGACTCCTTATATAGGAGAACAGTAATTGAAAACGAAGAGACATATTTGTTCGAAATGAATATGTCAGTTGGGAAACAGTTATGTCCGTTGGGGAAAGGATTCAATCATTTTCATTAAAATTAGGAATTAAATCATTTTTAGACATTTCATGCATTCTTTTATAGTGTACATGTCCTAGACGAGCATGCCATAACGAAAAATTAATAACATTTGACGAGGACATAAAAACAGAACCAGAATCATTAGGAACTCCATTCAAATTCATCATAAACATACCATTATTATAATATCCAAATCCTACAAACACACCAGACTTCGATAATACATATTTATCGGATTCACACACTTGCTTGTATCCAAGCTTGTTTAATACAGGACCAGAAATTAAATTCTTACATAATTTAGGAACATACAATACATTAAACAAAGTAATAGTCTTTCCAGAACTGAATTCTAGCACCACGTTTCCTTTGCCTTCAACGGGAGCGAAGTGATCATCTCCCATGTAGAGGACAGAACCATCTTCCACTAGAACAAGAGTCTTTAACCAGAAACGATCCTTGCAAACATGTGTTGTGGCACCAGAATCAATCCACCACGCGGCAGCATCATCCTGCACATAAAATTCTTCAGAATTTAGTGAAACCGAATGTTTAATCAAACTATTCAAATCACGAATTGATTTCTGACCTTGGTTTTCAGAGTGGTCCTTAGACCCCTTTCCTGAACCACTTGCATTCGCGTTGTCGTTCTTTTTACCGAAACGGCAGTCCTTCTTGAAGTGGCCTGTTTTGCCACACTTCCAGCATTCTAGTTTTGGTTTCTTATTATTACCGAAATCGCCCTGTTTGTTCTTGAAGGCACGCTTCTTTCCTTTGTTTTTGTTGTAATCGTTCTTACCACCCTCTTCGACCATATTAACCGAGGGTCCAGCAATTCCTTTGCCTTTTCCTTTGTCATCTTCCTGCGCTCTTAGAGATTCTTCTGTGCGCAAATGACTTCCAAGTTGGATCAAAGACAGTTCGTCTTTTCCATGTTTCAGATTGTGTTTGAAATCCTTCCACGAAGGAGGCAATTTGTCTATGATGCTTGAGACAGATATTGTTTCATCCATATTCAATCCATGTTGTGTGAATTGTCCAAGGATTCGGAGGAGTTCATTGAATTGTTCCATGACAAACCTCGATTCAACCATTTTGTAATTGTTAAAATCGGTTACCAGAAACTTTTTACTGGATGAGTCCTCTGCCATGTACTTGGATTCGAGTTGATCCCACAATTCTTTTGCAGATTCCACGTTTTGGTAAATATCAAATAAGGGATCAGACATACCGTTAAGAATGTGCCCTCTGCATATGTAGTCGTCGTTCTCCCACTTTGATCTGCGTCTTATATCTTCGACTGATTCATCCTCATGAGGTTCTGGAATCGGTGTAGACAGGACGTGTACCACTTTCAACGTTGTCAACATGAAGTGCATCTTCTTCTGCCAACGCCTGAAATCTTGTCCTTGAAACTTGTCCAATTTTCCGAAGTTTGTTGTCATCTCCTTGATGGTGCTTCCTCCAGCCATGATTATCAGAAAAATACTTTGTTCGTTTGTTAGATATTTAGGGTGTGATAATCCTGGATAACTTCGAAGAATCGTAATTATTGATCCGATTTTGCATACCGGCATTGCCTTCTTGAACACCAACACGGCTCAAAAACTGCAACCTTTACCTAAAGTTTCCTAGTACAACACCAATACATAGCCCAACACTAGTCAATAAACAAAGTTGAGTTAAATTTCATCATTTTTCAATGGCATAAGCAAAACTTACCAAAAAAACTGCAGCAATTTTTAGAAGCCTTTCAGGATCCTTTGGGAAAAACATATACTCCTCAATTTTGTGTTTGCTCGCTGCAACTGTTTAACTTGGTCATGATAAAAGCTCCTAAGAATATGAATAGAAGCAGGAACTCAAATAACGTAAAAAGGTCTGAATTTATAAAGTTTAAAAGTTATAAAAAGTAGTCCAAATTTGGCAAATGCGTTGTCACAAGAATCAAATTCAAGAGTTTGAGGTTTTTACTAGTCCAATAATAAATCATGGGAGCAAAATAAATCATATAGTTTCACTAATGTTTGCAGATAGCTAGAAGAAATCTATACGAATAACAGTAAATCGCATAAGGTGAAGTAAAATAATTGGTATCTTTCAGCAAAAAAAAATATACTCACATTAGAATTTGTGATGTGGTTTATGTCCAAATGCAATTAGAATCTTAAATAATAGCATTAACAACATATGATAGTACAGTTCTAAATGGTATCTGATATAAAATCCATTTGTATGGTAAAAGGATATATACTTTAGTTTAGAATCTCATCAGTGCCAGAGTTAAAAGGAGCTGGATATTAATCGAAGTAAACTGACCAACGCACCTGAAAGCAGAAGAACAAATGATTCAGCTACTTCAACAGACAGTACTTTATAATTTGAGATAACAAATGAATCTTAAGAAGATCTTTAGGTTAACAATTTCATTTCAGCTTAACTATGAACAAATGCATTTGCAATTCTTTTTATGCTTCATGACTTTTCTAGTCATATTTACTTCGTCCCATCTTCCAGCATTAGCATATATATTCCACTTTGAACATGTTGCAGCTCTGTTAATAGTACTTTTACCTGACTATTTCATATGGAATTATTTGGTTGAACTCATATTGTCTATTAATTTTTCTGCTTCTCCGAAATGACCTGCCCAACTCAAAAAGTCAGCCTTATCATGACAGAAAGCCATTCGGCATCATATTGAAAAAGAGATCAAGCACCTTGTTATGCCTCTCATATCGATTATAAGCATTAATCATAATCCATACAGCTCCAAGCAGCAACGTTTCTCTTCAAACACAGCATATGATCAATCCCTAGAGACTCTGAGTGAGATTGACACAAAAGCAATTGACAGCAGCAAAATTATGAGTGATTCTTCTTGCTTCACAGTTTCATCTGAAGAAACATCCTCAGATTCCTTCAGTGATTCTTCAGACTGAGTATTCTCAGTAACTTCTGAGTCTAAAAAGCTTGAAGACATGATGAATCTGTCCTCTAATTCCATTTGTGGTTTAGGAAGAAACGCTAGAACCCTAACAAAATCAAGAGAAGATAATAAAAGGTATAAAGACTAAAGATAAATTAAGAAAATATAATTTCTTTTTCTTTTATTTAATGATCTTTCAATGTCTCCACAGATTACATGTATAGTACTCTTAATAGATAATTAAATAAAATTCAAATTTATAAATGTCTAATTCAACAACCTTTAAACTTTAAAGATTCTAACAATATTTTAGAATTATTATAAAATAACAACTAATATAAAAATACTAAATAAACTATATTAACTCTCTATCATCCTCATCATTGCGCACTACACTCCAATTGTCCATGTCTTTTAACACCTTCAAAGCTCTACTTGATTGTTTATTGTTGAAGTACAGCAATGGAACAAGTCCAACCAACTACATTTCACATAGGAATATTTGTATAAAGTTTTATTTAATATTGTTGTGTAAAGTGTATAAGAATGGAATATAAATGGTTCGTTATATTGCATACACTACAATATGATGGAATTGATCTTATCCACTTTCATTCCACTACATCTATTATCAGGGTTGGCTATGTGCATATGAAGGGTCTCAAATTTAAAGGGGTTGTTTATTAAACCCATAAGTATACCATACTCTTCAAAATTTGAAATTGTCCACCGTGCTCTAGAAAATTTGAAATTGTTGTTTGTGTTCGGAGATGTATTTCCGGATATATTCAAATCACAACTATTATGTGATATTCTGAGATTCATATTTTGAATAAAATATGATCTCGACATACATCTTTGTATGATATTTGATAAATTCGACGATGCGTCTCCGAAATTTCTCCTAAATTTTTTTAAAAGCATGATAAATACAAAGGGAAATTATTTCGAAGATGCATCTTCGAAATTCTCTCTAATTCATATCAGAACAACAATATTGTCCAAACGTTCAATTTTTTTGAAACCAACTTATATTAACGTAAAATCAAAGTAAAATGGAGTTATGTTAAAATTAAAAGAGGATAAAATTCATACACTAATAAAAAAAGTCAAGATAATGCATACATAATATTTGTCCAAAAATACAACAAAAAACATCCCAATATTAACTACTGGGCATGTCTAACCGCTTCCCTCCTTCGCGCTTGTACTGCACGACATTTCGTAATTCAGAAACCATGCACTCCATTAAGGATAATTAGGGACTACCATCCTCACTGAGTCCTGACTCTATGGTTGCTATACCCATCTCCATAACACGTCGACAAATCGACGTCATGCTTTCTGCCTGCTAATCCCAAACCTCAAGTACCTCATGGTGTACTGGTCTAGGTGGTTCTCCAGGAGCGTCTCGTGCCATGATATGGTGTGACACCCTATAAAATCATGTCAAGTAACCCTCAGCACAAGCTCAGTGTACATGAGTTGGCTCCTAAAGATACTCCTCTGGTATCAGGTGAATTTCGAAATCGTCCAGTCGCTTGTAGGTCTCTATGGGGGACGGTGGGAGGAACGGACTCATGGGGAGGTCTCGGAATAATATGCAAGTAGCCAAACTGGTGCATCACTCGCTTAGAAAGATATGGATATATAAAAGATGACCCACATCCAGCCAGCCGGAGTATAAGGAAGTGACGTCAAACTGACGTGTCTGGCGGTCACCCTCTTATGGGCAAAAGCAAACATCATCTGGTATATAAGGTCAAGAGAGACTCTAAATGGCTCGACCGCATCATTCCTCCTGTACATAACAAAAGTGGTTGCACGAGATCAGTCTTCAATGTATTTAGGTGCAGCTTCAAACCCAATGATGCGAGGTAATTAGTGTAGGGGCAATTCCGAGGAGAGAGCATTTTACTTGGGACACACCTTTGTGAGAGACACACCACTTGTCCATCTAAAACCTTAAGGTGATAGATGAGTGGGTTCTCTCACTTATAAACTGCTCAATCTTCCCTTTTATAATCAATGTGGGACTTCTTCCTCACACTTGATTCTCAACACTCCCCCTCAAGTGTGAGTCACAATGTTCCCCCTCGTGTGGAATGACTCTCTTCCACATACACTTGTACCACCGCTTGATACAAGTAAATCGGTCCCTATCTCGAAACCAAAGGCTCTGATACCACTGTAGGGGCAATTCCGAGGAGAGAGCATTTTACTTGGGTTCTCTCACTTATAAAGTGATCAATCTTCCCTTTTATAATCAATGTGGGACTTCTTCCTCACACTTGATTCTCAACACTCCCCCTCAAGTGTGAGTCACAATGTTCCCCCTCGTGTGGAATGACTCTCTTCCACATACACTTGTACCACCGCTTGATACAAGTAAATCGGTCCCTATCTCGAAACCAAAGGCTCTGATACCACTGTAGGGGCAATTCCGAGGAGAGAGCATTTTACTTGGGACACACCTTTGTGAGAGACACACCACTTGTCTATCTAAAACCTTAAGGTGATAGATGAGTGGGTTCTCTCACTTATAAACTGCTCAATCTTCCCTTTTATAATCAATGTGGGACTTCTTCCTCACACTTGATTCTCAACACTCCCCCTTAAGTGTGAGTCACAATGCTCCCCCTCATGTGGAATGACTCTCTTCCACATACACTTGTACCACCGCTTGATACAAGTAAGTTGGTCCCTATCTCAAAACCAAAGGCTCTGATACCACTATAGGGGCAATTCCGAGGAGAGAGCATTTTACTTGGGATACACCTTTGTGAGAGACACACCACTTGTCCATCTAAAACCTTAAGGTGATAGATGAGTGGGTTCTCTCACTTATAAACTGCTCAATCTTCCCTTTTATAATCAATGTGGGACTTCTTCCTCACACTTGATTCTCAACAATTAGGAGATGATCCATCCCTGAAAATGGTTTGGATATAATGTTAATAACAAGTGTAACAAATGAATTATAAAAATATTAGTAATACGAAATTTTCGTAAGCAGAGCGTGCAACACTCATGGTAGTTAAACCGCGATCCTACTCATAGGATCGTACAACTTTACGATCTTGCAACTCCCCACCCTGCTAGATAATGGACATAATCGGTTTATGATACGCATGTGCAGAATCGTCGTGATTTCACATGAAAACTGTGGGGTTGCAGTTTTTGTTTGAACTTTTCGTTTTTGTTTAAAACTCCGGAAATTTGGATTTACGAGTCAGGTCCGCGACCCAGTTCAGAAAAGCCCTAAAAAATATTTATTTTTTATTAAAAAATGAAACGATTCTTTTCTTCTATTACTTTATAACCTTCCTATTAACTAGGATAATCAATACCCACCCACCCAATAATCAATGATTTATTCAACTTTTCGAAATATATTCACTCCAAATCCAAATCTCTCACGTTAAACCAACTAGATTATGACCTGCGCGATGCACAGTTATGTGTCAAAAAAATTGTAAAATTTATTTTATTGATTGTTTGAGAACTAAAAATAAAAAATTATGACTTGAAAAAATATACATACTTTTTATGATTAAATTAATTTTATATTTATACGTTCAAGAGTTTTCTTGTTGGTTTAAAAGAGAAAAAATTATATACGATATTAAAATAGTGAGGACAAATGATAAAAAAAGTGGTCTAAGATGCACGAAAACAAAAACAATATAGTTCAAAAATCTATATTATTTTAAATTATAATGATTAAAACATTATTTTTCATTGAGATTGAAAAAATATATATTTATTTAAAATAAATTTTAAGAATTTGTAGTTCATTCAACCTCAAGAATTCTTTCAATGCTATGAAAATGTAAATTGATTTAGACAAATATAAAATTGAAATTTAAAATAAAAAATTATTACTCCCTCCAATTCAAAATGAAAGTTGTTTTAATAAATAAAATTTATTTCAAAAAAATTATCGTTCTCGCTTTTAAATATATAAATGATTACTAATTTTTCAAATTTATCTTTTAATTATTGTTAATTTAATAAAAATACAATATATTATGACAATATTATTATTTTTTAATCTTGTACAAAAATCTTAAACATAGTCATTTTGAAATAGATGAGTAAATTAGTAAAATAATGTATCTATTATAAACTACAATTATAATGGTTAGAAATGTGTGAAAGAATTTTAAGAGATAAATGTATTTTTAAATAATTTATATCTATAATAATATATAATAATATTAATCTTATGACCTATTTTTTTTCTTCCAAAATAGGATAAAATTATTTAAGTCATCTTAATAGTAACTCTACGCACAAACCCTAATTCTATTTTTTTAATTAATTTTTCCCTACATTAAAATTAAATAATAATAATAATAAATATCATAATAATAACAATAAAATAATAATATAATATTTTGCCACTATTATTAATAATAATAATAATTTAATCTTAAGAATAAATAGTAATAATAAATATAATAGTAATAATGCTAATAATAAAAATAATAATAATAATAATAATAATAATATAATATTCAACCATCACTAATAATAATAATAATATAATAATAATAATAATAATAATAATAATAATAACATAATTCAAACTACCACTATTATAAATAATAACAACAATAATAATAATAATAATAATAATAATAATAATAATAATAATAATAATAATAATAATAATAATAATAATAATATAATATAATATTCAACTATCACTATTAAAAATATCCAAATGAAAATCATAATTAAAAACATCCGCGTTTTTATAATATCTTATATAGAAAAAGTGGTCATATAAAAATTATTTTACTTATTTTAATATAAAAATGAACAAAGTGTCTTTATAAAAACTTAGATAAAAATATATTTTATTTATTTATATATAAAAATGGGAAAATAATATTATAACGCCTTAACTAATTTTTTATAAAGAAATTATAAAAAGTATTTTTCTAGTGACAAAAAATTAAATTATTCAAATGCAATAGTCAATTTGAATCTTGAAATAAAAATTAAATTTAAATAAATTACACATCAAAAAATATAGAATTGGAAAGTTCATGTTAATGGTAAAATAGAATAATAAAAGATAATTGAGAAATAAAAATAAGAGCGCCACAATAAATAATAAAATTTGTACTTAAGTATTAAACAAAATAAGGTACAACAAATAGAATCATATATTTCTGTAATTGTTACTGCAACTTGACAGGAGAGAAATGAGAGACAAAAATAAGAGCAACACAATAAAGAATTAAATCTGTACTTAAGTATTAAACAAAATAAGGTACAATAAACAGAAACATACATTTCTGTAATTGTTACTGAAACTTGGCAGGAGAGAAATGTAGACTATATGCATTGCATATTTCTTGCTACAGATATAAAATTATGTATTGGCATAATTGTATTATATAAAATAATATATAGATTATAAAACTTTCAGATTTCAGATGTTTAACCGATGCATATATTGCTAGTTAAATTGAGGGGTTAATTAAAATTTATGATGGATTAATTATGAATAAATTGTTTGAGGTTATAAAAAAATAATAGAAAATAAGAATGAGAATGTGTTTTATGAGTATATTTGAGAGAATGAGTTGAAAATGATTTTGGAAGGTGACACATCAGATTTCATATGACATGAAAAAAGAGAAATGATTTAACATAAAAGAAACTGAAATATCAATATAAGATTAAATGAATAATTTTTGAAACACACAATTCAATGAAAATTTAAAGAAGAAAATAATGGAAGAAGTTATAAAAATAATTTAAATTTAAATATATTAATGATAAAGGAATTGTTAAAGTTAATTTATAGTTATGTATGAATTAAATTTTTAAAAATCAATAGTTTTATAAACAACTAATTCAATGACCATTTAAGAGAAAATTAATAAAGAAGTTATAAAAATAATTTATAATTAAAATATATTATAAGAAAATGAATTTTTAATTATATTTATATTATTTTTTTATAATTTTTATATAATAAATAAAACTAAAGCTTCCTAAAAAAATAGAAAACATCTCCTTATCGTACCTTTCAAGTTTAAAAAACTATAAAAAGAATAAATATTTTAATATAAATAAAGAAAATAATTTTATAATAATTTAAAAAAAAAATATTTTATATTATTAAAGTATTAAATTATTAGAATAATATTTTAAACTATAATATCACTTAATCTTTAGTTTCATTTTTAAATTATTACTTTTATAATATTTTATATACTTTAATTCTTT